GAGGAACATGGCCAATAAAAATGTGAAGCAAGGGGAGACGATGCCTGTTTCTCTCAGCAGGTGGCAGCACGGCCAGATCAGATTGCATCAGCAGTTCTCAAGAAATGTAAAGGGGATGGGGTGGGGAACCGGAGGTGGGATTAGATGTTTTGATTCTTTCTTAAAATGAGATCCTTAGGTGGGGGAGGAGATTAGGGTGGCGCAGTGGGGTTAAGCATTGTAGGGAGGGATGAAGTGCAGCATTCTAAGCCTAGTTCTTAGAGAACATTTTATCTACATCACAAAATCACTGCACAGTTTGCTGCAAATTGGCAGGCTCTGTTGATGAGAGTGGTCCAGGCCTGGAGTATCCAAGGGATGCAGAAGGTCAGAGCGGAACTATATTAGCGGAGCTGTTTGGGGGGGCCTAAGACTGAAGTATGTGGTGTGTTCAGGCCAGGAGTGAAGAGATCTGGCTACTCTATTGAGGACAGCAGGGAAGCTGCCTGCTGTAGGCTTGGCTCAAGCCAGTGATTATCATTCGTTTTCATGAGCACCCAGTTCCCTCGCAAGTTAACATGAAATGGAGGAAAGCCCCCAGTGATCCTTTGGGCATGAGACTGATGAGCACAGTCCCTATGACAAGCACAAGCCATCCTGTTCCTGTACATCCCACCCTCCCTCTCTTTTCTTCATGATAACAGTCTTCAAGTATGTAAAAGGTTGTTATAAAGAGGAGGGTGATGAATTCTTCTGTTTAACCACTGAGGACAGGACAAGAAGTCCTTAAATTGAAGCAGGGGAGATTCAGGTTAGACATGAGAAAACCTTCCTAACTGTAAGGTTATCTAAGCACTGGAACAAATTACCAAGGGAGGTTGTGAAATCTCTTTCACTGGAGGTTTTTAAGAACAGGTTAGACAAACACCTGTCAGGGATGGTCTAGAGTAGAAAATACTTAGTCCTGCCTCAGTACAGGGGACTGGACTAGGTGACCTATTGAGGTCCCTTCCAGTCCTACATTTCTATGATTCCGTGTTGGGATGGAGGATCAGGGGCCAGGTTCAGTGGCTGTAGTAACAGTGTTTTCCTTCCTGCTAGGTTGTTCGGAAGTACTGCCCGCATCATGTGGGCCATTACCTGGGTATGGATGTTCATGACACACCAGATGTGTCCCGATCGCTCCCACTCCAGCCGGGCATGGTGATAACCATTGAGCCAGGTAAAAGGACACACTTTCAACCCTAATTCAGTAACAAGTCACAATGTTGTTGATATAATGTACTTTTACATAACTCCCTGCAGATTCAGACTAAAATGCTTGAGGTGCTTTGCAATGGAGTTAAAAACACATACTGTACTAGGAAAGCATAGTGAATTATTATCCTCCCAGTATATAACCAGAACTAGCTAGTTGCAAGGGTGAGCTCTTAAAGCGTGTTCCTTAATCTTTACAAAGTAAGCATTCTACTGGGACACTTTCCTTCAGATCGTTACAGTTGGATTTGCAGCCCTCAAATAGAAACTGGTCTCTGACACTGACTTTCTTTTCTCTGCCCTTCTCCCCCATTGCCCAGAGCACTGTCAATGTCTCTTCTCATATGGGCAGCACTGACATCGAGAAATGCAGAAAGGCTGAATGGAAGCGTTAGGGTTTATATTCATATACGGAGGTCTGTACGCAGCGGGGAAGTGCTCTCTTCCCTCCCCTTCCTATAGAAGCTGCCCCAAACAGAGGTGAATGAGAGAAACTTTCCTTGACAAAGCTCTTCCGGTTTGACCCCCTCCAGTATTGCTCAGCGCACAGTCCTGCCCTCATCACCGTGTGAGCCAGTGAAGGGCGGGAGCCTTCTGTGGTCTCATCCTGCTCTTCTGAGGGGTTTTATTCCCTCCTTTCCCTCAGGCATCTACATCCCCCAGGATGACATGGCCGCCCCAGAGAGGTTACGTGGCCTCGGTGTGCGCATTGAGGATGATGTGGTGGTGACGGAGGACGTGCCCCTGATCCTGTCTGCAGACTGCCCCAAGGAGATCTATCATGTTGAGCAGATCTGTGGCCGCAGCCTGTGATCTCTCTCCTCTGCCTTATACACCCTCCTTGGGTTCCTCAGGAAACATGCCCCCACACACACATGCAGTGATGTATATTTCTGTGAATGGACCTTGTTGCAGGGCAGTTGGGGAGGTGGGGGGTTGGGATGGAAGTTGTTGCTGGTGTGGGGACTCTGTAGTTAGGACATGAATTGGATTGCTAATGGCTCAGGTAACATCACTGTTAGAAAGTGAAGAAACCATTTATTTACATAGTTAACGTCTGTTCTAGTTAGTGCTGATTGAAAGATCTAGAATGCAGGAGGTGGATCTCTCCACTCCTGCTCTCATGCACATAATCTTGTTCATTTCTGTCAGCAGGACAGTAGTGTGCCCCTCACCCCCACCCCCACCCCTGGCTCGTTCTTCCTTGCGGGTCCTTGAACAGGGTGCAGCAGCTGAGGGCGAGGTGCCACATGTTGCCCTTTGTTGTCAGTTTCACACCAGCCCGGTGAGACACCGATTTAAATGAAAACGTTCAAAAGTTTGGGAGAGGGGGCAAGTGGGTTGTTTTGGGCTTCTGTGGAGGAATGACAAGAGGGGGTTTGGGAGACTGGAAGATGGGGTCGGGTTGTGGGAAGTTTGTATTGATGCAGAAGGGTTTTAGCATCTAGGGAAGAGACTATGTTAGGCTTTCTTTCTAGGAGGTTTGAGAAAGATTGGCAATAGTAAGGAGGGGTCATCTGAAGGCGTACAGCAGGGTTTGGTATTGGGAGAGGGGACTGACTGGGTTCATTGCACTTGGTGCGTGTTTGGATTGCCCATTCATCCGTCCTTCTGGTCTCTTTTCCCCTCCCATATTCTTAGCTCCAGACTTCCACTCTACCTCCCCGCCACTCTACCCCCAATTCTTCTACCTGAGATCAACTTGACTGTACTGGTCTGCACTGATGAGCTGCTGTTTCTCTAGTTCAAATATGTGTACATTATTGTACAATTGTGTCTGGGACAGTCAAAATCCCATCCAGTGCTTGAATGGCAGGTGCAGGCAAGCACACCAATGCCCCTTGAGCAGCCCAGACGTATTTCGTAACTTGTTAAGAGAGAGAAAAATAACCTCCAGTAGGGGGTTCCAGTACTCTCCCCTTTGAAAGTTTTTTGAACATATACGGCACCTGCCTTTTGGTGATTTCCAAGTTTAAAAAAAAAAAAAAAAGGTCTTTGACGATCTCTCTGAGCCAGGTATAAATGTGACCCCTTGCCTTCAAGGGTAGATGAATGAATTTGCAGGTTCTAAAGAAGAGGATGAATCCTAATTCTCCATTCCCTTCCAACATTCAATCCATTTCAAACAGTGGTAAATGTATCTATAATACATATATACTGTGTTTGGTTATTTATTGGTCATATTTTGGCAATTAGCTTTATATTTAATACATTGTGAAAAATATCACTTACTACAATGTATATCCCTTGTTTTATTTATACATTCTTTTGCTTCACTCCCTTCTTTTTTCCTCATGTAAGGTAGATCTCCCTGTATTTTCTCCTATGTTGTTTTCAGTGTAGTTGTTTTTTTTATTTCGTTCTCTCCTTTCCCTGTGCTTGCTTTCTGTCTTTCTTCTAAAATTTAACTTCCTAATCCCCATGCTTCTCTTTTCTAATCTATCCCTCAGTCTCTCCACCAACTCAGCTCCATGACTCTAGCAATTAACATATAGGAATAGGAGTCAGGACTCCTGATTTCTGTTTCTGGCTCTCTGCTGATTTTGTGTGACCTTTGGCAAAACCTTCTATGCCTCTTGTGCTTCGTTTTCCTCTTCTGCAAAATCGCGTACCTCTTTCAGGTGGGTGTTGCAAGACTTGTTTAATTAGGGCCAAATTGTGCACCCTAGTGGACATGTGCATCTCCCATTGCCTTCAAGGGGAGATGGGTACATGCATCCAAGGGATGAACTTGACCCTTTAAAGGCAGCTAACTTACCTGACCTGTTTTTTTTGTTTTTGTTTTTTTAAATAAGCAAGGGGAAAAAAGGTGAGGCTTTTAGTGAGTTTTACAGATCAGTCTATGCCTATTTAAAAGAATCTACTATATTTTGATTGTGATAATTTTGTTAGATCACAGCTACTACAGTGACAAGTACAATATAAATTGTTAGAAAGAAGGCGCACTAAAGATATATGGAGATACATAATATTGCTGCTAATGTGCTAACTGATAATCATTTAGCCTGTACTCTAAATCTGTTACACATAACATTGTTATTCCAAACATGCCTTTGGTGCTGTGCCAACCAATACCTACAGGTAGTAACTTTGGACTTTGAATCTACATGACTAGCTGTGAATAGCATTCATCGGTAAAGCTGTATTTTCCCATGTACCTAACTGCAGAGTTGATGATTGTGTATCTATCTGTAAATAAAACTTTGAAATACATAGTTATTTTTGAAAAAAGAATAATTTGTATTAAGTCGTTTCTCTGACCATAAAGTTACATAAGATCTAAGAACTTCCAGTAAGAACTTCCTTTTTCAGGGAGATATAAGCCACCTGTAAATGAACTCAGAATGAAATAACGTTCTTGTTGTTTTCTGTTATTGTAGCACCTATGAGTCCTAGTCTTGGACCAGGACCCCATTGTGCTTTTACTAGCTGTACAAACACAGTACAAAAAGATGGCCCCTGCCCCAGGGACTTATAATCTGAGTGTAAGACAAGAGACAACAGATGGATACCGACAGACAAGGGAATACAAGTAAACAATAACCCAACATTGGTCAGCATGATAGGCAGTGGTCTTTTATTGAATATTTTTGAATGCAGGCACGTAGTAAATAGTTATCCAAGAAAATGGAGTGTGATTTTCCTTACAGAGGTGGGTCCTG